GAAGCCTACAATTTTTCTGACGGTTGAATTTTCCACCTCAGCAGGGGTGAGATAGACCTGTTCTAGGTGGTTCAGCCTTTGGCGGACTAATACTTCACATGAGCAAAGTATGTGTTCCGCGGTTTCAGTCGCATTGTTACAAAAGCGGCAAGTGTCAGTCTCCGCCAGACCCATATTTTTGAGGTGGTACCTCAGAGGGCCGTGTCCTGTGAGAAAGCCTGTGATAAGCTTTAGCTCTGGTTTGCTGAGGCTGAGTAGCTCTTTGGCTCGGTTCTGCGAATGGTTGATGAACGTTTTCGCTTGTCGTTGACCTGGAGTTGCTCTCCAGTAGGAGGACTTTTCAATTTCTTCCCATTCCCCGAGTTCTCCCTTTAGGTGACATTTGCTTATCCCACAAAAAGGCTCAGGACCAAAAAGTGCAGATGCTGCACATTTTTTTGCTAGGCGATCAGCTGCCTCATTTCCTTTGATTCCTTCATGCCCTGGAACCCATGTGAAAACGAATGATTTTTGGGCTTTTAGTGCGGCTTGGCTGTCTGAGCATATATATGTTGGCACCCCTCAGACCTTTTGCTCAGGCGCCTTTGGGCGCAAAGGTTGATGGCATGTATTTCAGCTTGGAAGATAGTGGGGGAGTGACCTAAGGCTTCAAATAGCCTACATCCGGGTCCATATACACCCGCGCCTACCCCTTCTTCCATTTTCGAACCATCGGTGTATCAAACAAAGGAACCTCTGTCCAGCTGAGGCTCAGCGGAACCGTACCTAGGGCGGCTTTTTATAACCACTTCAAAGGTATGATCGAAACTGAGCCTGGCTGGCATTATGTCCGATGGTTTGGTTGCAGATTCCATTTGTACTTCTTGTAGAATGACCATGTGACCAGTGACATCACCTGGTCTGGCCAATTCAGTGGAGTTAAGTCTGTATGCACTGAGAGCTGCAATGCTCTTGATAAAAATATGCAAGGGTAGTAGGTCAAGCATAGCTTCCATTGCTGCAGTAGGGCACGTACGCATAGCCCCTGTGATCCCAAGACACGCGAGTCTCTGGATTTTTTGCAGCTCAAGTTGTGCTGTTTTTTTCCTTACTTTTGGTCCATCACACTAGAGAAGCGTATGTGACCATGGGTCTGACCACCGTGAGATAAGACCAGTAGATCATATTAGGTTCTGGACCCCACGTTTGGCCAAACATCTTTCGGCATATCCAGAGAGCTGAAATTGCCCTATTGACGATTTTGGTCAAGTGTTGGTTCCACGTGAGTTTCTTGTCTAGGATTACTCCTAGATATTTGACCTCTTCGGAGAAATTGATAGGCGTCCCATCCATAATGGGTTCCTTTAACTTGATCTTCCTTCTTTTGGTAAATGGAATGATTACCGTTTTGCTTGGGTTGACATTCAAGCCCTCCTGAAAGCACCAGTCTTTCAGCAAGTTGAGTGCAGCCTGCATTAGGTGCTTAGTTTGTTGAGTAGGTTATCGACAACTATGGACCATAAAAGAGGAGACAGTACCCCTCCTTGGGGGCAACCTCTAGTGGCCTGTGCAGTTACCGAGCTGCTTCCCAGTGTAGCTTTCATTCTTCTACTCCTGAGCATGTGGATTGTATCCAGCCTGTTGTTGGGGCCTCGTGCCCCTTGATGGTTGTGGCTCGCTCTATCGATTCATAGGAAGTGTTATCGAACGTTCCTTCTATGTCGATGAAGGCACACAGAGCAATTTATTTATCTACCTGTGCCTTTTCAATCTTTCCCATCAGACTATGTAAGGCGGTCTCTGTAGATTTGCCTGATTGATAGGCAAATTGATTTTTGTGAAGCGGACTATTCGACAGAATTTTGCTTCTGATGTGTTGATCAAGTAGTTTCTCCATAGTTTTCTGGAGAAACGAAGTGAGGCTGATAGGTCTATAGGATTTGGGCTGGTCACTGGGACGTTTACCCACCTTTGGAATAAAAACCACATCAACCTCTCTCCATGTTTGCGGAATGTGGCGCAAGAAGTAGTAGTATCTCCTCGATTCCCTGTTGTAGGGCAGCCGGTATAATGCCGTCACCACCTGGAGATTTGTAGGGCTTAAATGAGCTGATAGCCCACCGAATTTTGTTTTTTGTGAAGATTTTACCTGATAGACTTTTTTCGCGGTTGGAGGGACGATGTGCGTCCCTCACATCCGGATAGCCTACTTGCAGGTTGTCGTCACTGATGCTTTCTGGGAAGTGAGTGTTAATTAGCAGTCTCAAGCTTTCCTCCGAATTTTGCGTGTAGGTACCGTCCGAATTTCGGAGCAGACCAATTCCGTTTGAGTGGTCCCTAGAGAGGATTTTTTGTAAACGGGTTGCTGGCGGGACTTCATTGATCCCTGGGAAACACTTAGTTGGTACATAATATATGATGCGATTGTAAATAATGAAATATTTTTTCTGTAAACTTTTGATATTAGTTTTCTAACATCGATTGTAGGTAAATTAGGTATACCAAATTGTTGAATGTTGACCTATCACATTATTTTTCGTTCTTCAACATTCCGTTAATTGTATACGTATAGGCATCCGATATTTGCTCGATGATCGGTAAATAAACCTAGGGAATTCAAAACAAACTCAGGTGAGTCACAGAAACTCGTCTACTTTATCGGAGAATTAGAAATTTCTGTCCTCTGTTATATGATTATTATAAGTATTCATTGCTAGTACTCAAAAGTCATCCGCAGTCAATATCTAAGAAGAATCGAAAATGGCTCAATTGGTAAGATGTACTCCAAATGTCGCAGGTTCGAACGTGGCGACCGGTCATTTCTTTTTGACGGTATACAGACATCGGTTCGGCCGTCGGCCAGAGTGACCTATTGACGTCTGACCGACGTCGTTTGCCTCTCTTTTGCCGCGTCGGCAACTTCTGGCAAACAGGTTTTGGGCCGACGTAATAACGACTGAAATTGTTTGCTAGGAGTTACTGTTTCTGATTTCTGAATGGATGTGTTTGGCAGTGGTAGTCAAACCCGATAGTTAATTTGTGATCCATCGCATACAGTTGCATATACAAAAAAGATGTAAGTAACAATCATCTTTTGATAATCTCATAAGCACGATATTCATGAATAATATCTTTACAGTCTCCCTGAAGATGAAAATAAAGATTTGCGAGAGCTTGGACTAACTTTGAAGAGTACTCTGGCTATATGCCACGACGAACATTGAAATATACCTATTGAACACACACGATAGGAAATTGAAAACAAAATATTCTGAAGTTGAGAATGGGTATTCTCCTTCAGTTTATTTCCTCAATCAATAAAACTCCTAGTAACCACTTCCTCATTTTGTCTGCATGGCCAGTTTTAATTTTCACTTATATAGCTGTATATTCATCAAATATTTATTATAAATGTGAAAGGGTGCGTATAGTACCTATAGTGTGTGTTTGAGTGCGAATAAGTGTAAAGTGTGAGTCTTCTATGTTTATATATGCTGTATATAGTATATGAATATTTTATCATGATTCATTTTGTTGTTGTTGACAATATATGGTATGAATGCCTATAATATGTGAGAATGTAATAATATGTTGTATTTAATTGCTCATTTTTCAAACTCATTTTATAGTAGCCTAAGCATATATGTATTGATTAAATTGTAATCATTGCAATGACTTGAAAATGTAAATTAGCCAAATTGACTAAATAAAGAATTAATATATAAAAATATGTATATGTTAAAATCAGCTCTTTTGAGAATAAGGATTAAGGGATTTTTGGAAATGCTGATTCCTTCGTTTTGCTAACATTCAATCACCACCAAAATTTTGAGAAAATCGCATCATCAATAACTGAGATATTAGAGTGTATTCATGATGAGCGGGACACACTGTATAGATAGACTGGATGGCAAGCGCTAATAATCTCAAGTGAGTTGTAATCAGAGCAAAGTCGACTTATAATCACAGGTGATAACTCGCTTGTCTCCGAACTTTTCTCCTATGCTGTTAGGGTTTCCTGCTGAGGTATAATTCGATTTTCAACTATATGGATTTACCTACGACCTATTTTATAGCAATTTTCCTCAGCGTGGCCTCCACCGTGTAATGGCGTTCGAATAATAATAATAATAATAATTATAAACGTCTTTATTACTTCTGAATAGCAAATAATATAAAAACTATGGGTAGATAATAATTTTCAGAAGCAAACGCGAAGTTCAATTCAGTTCCTGGATGACTCCGTCCACTTATCCCTCAAATACCTCTACAATTCAACATGTAGGAGCAACCAAGGGATAAAAAAGAAAAAATAGTATCTTATGAATGATAACATAATAATAAATGATAAATAAATGGGAACATAATAGGAAGTCTGATTGTGTTATTGATTTGAATTAAACAGGTGTGAAATTATATTCGTTTTATATTTATGAACCACTGCTGATTTTAATTGATGTGGAATATTATTGTAAATATGGCATATCTGGTAGATGAAGCATCTTCGAAAAAGTTTTGTTTTGAAAGGGGGAGAAGACAGTGTTTCTCTAAACCTAATATTCACATGGTGAACGTACGCGTATGGAAAACAATTCTTTTATGGAGATAGGAAGGTTTTTTACTGATGATAATTCTTTATATAATTCATTTATCGGTCCATTAGTTTACGCTGCAGGTCATAAAAGACTACTTTACTCCCTTGACAATTAAATAACTATAAGTATCATAGGTGTTATTCTCCTTCCGGAAACTGCTATTATAAAAAAAACAAATATCATTTTTATTAGAATTCATTTCAAACAAATCAAACGAATTCTGCTGTCCTCATTGCAGGTGTGTATTCCTATTATTTTCGAATTATCTTTCTAAATCTAAGGCATCATTTTTTTCCAAATCTGTATTATAAGCAAATTAGGTAGTACCCCTTATCGCATCGAGTACTTCAGATTACTTGACGAATCAGACTAAAATATTATGATTGTATTTTAAAATAGTTCCAATGGTCCAGAGCAAATGACAAAATGGAAAAAATTAGGGGCATATTCTTTGTTTTAGTAGTATATTTGTGCATCCAAGTGAAAAGTGAAAAAAGTTTTCAATTCGGGACTGAATTGATGGAGACAATATGCGAATTGAAAACGAATGTTTCAAAATTATGTGCTGTACAGTTGAAGGAAAGTTGTAAAAATGAAACTGTATTAATGAATTGTAAGTACCTACGCATTTGGAAATTCTGTGCCGCATGAAATAATCAGCATATATTTCTATCTCATAATGTTCGAAATACAGAACAACAAAAAGAAACAACATATATTTCCGTATTTCATTGTTGTAATATATACGGTGTTGCAGATTTCCAACGGAAAAATTCAATTAAAATTTCATATTGAACTTGTATGTTTTAGACCTTAGTTTTCGAGATACAGGGTGTCGTAGATAGACGTATTGGAAACTCGAAAACGATAAACGAAACAAAGTTGGTTGAATTATTATTAGACTATTTGAATAATGAAACGATGTATCCAAATCGAAAATGTCACGAACAGTTTTCAAAATTACTGGGTGAGTTAATAGTCAATAGTCAAAAATCTCCTGACGAAATTCATTGTGAAGCACTTCAAGCACTGTTTTTAATCAACTCAGGAATTCTTACGAACGCCCCTCTTACTTGCTAAATTATTGAATGGACAGGTAGATAGTAGGTAGGTATGTTCCTAATTAGTGAAATTTCCCTTCACGTACCGCCACCAGGAGTTCGACCACGACAAAAATATCTTTCTACATAAATAAATACGATACCCCAGTCAATAGATTATGCAGATTATATAATATATATTCGGCAACCATAACGTGGTGTTTTTGATACTTCAATTCCTAAATTCAAAGCCAATTCGAAGAATGTTATAAATGCTTGGTGAGAATTCATGATGTCTGGTGTGAATTTCCTCTTTTTCAGTTAGGTATTCATTGTCATTATATTATTATTGGTATTATTGTTGTTGTGAGTATTATTATTATTGCCATATTTATAATTTAATTCTAGTTGCCTCTCATATTGCCTGTTTGTTTCTGTAGAATAAATAAATAAATAAATAAATATTTTCTCTGACTACACCTTTTTCAGTTCTGTTTCAGAAAGCATCAATTGAATTTCAGATATCGTTCTCAAGTTAGTTAGTTCCCTGATCAACACTTCTGCTTTCCTAATCAATCAGCCAATGAATTGAAACATTTCAACAACAAAAAGTTAGATAGACATTTTTTAATATAATTTTTCCGTCGAAGTTTAATGTTTATGAATCCGTTCATTGATGACATCTATTAGTGATCAATTTGTCTATTAATGCACGATTGTTTTATAGGCAACCAAACATACACCGTGTGCATTAATTGTTCATTCTATAATTTACAAAATATGCATTTGAATCGAAAATATGGATTTCATCGAAATTTTCCGTTACCGTTTTTTAACACATTTCGACAAATGTCAAATGTCACTTATGTCAGTAACACGGCTACTGGGTGATTCTTAGTAGTTTCCGGATGAATGATGAATTCGCGAACCAAGTTTTCTTCAATACAGGAGAAATGAGAAATATAGTCGACGGAAAAATTTTGTAACCAACTCGTATATTGAAAGGCGAAAAATGATCTCGAACATTAACGTGCTCGCTTCGCTCGCACGTTAAAATATGTCGATCATTAATCGCCCTCATTAATACACTAGTTGGTTAAATAACTATTTGTCAATTATTGTGATGAAAGGATCCTGCATAGAAATTTTTTAATTGAAATTCGAGATCCTATTGGTTTATATCAATATCAGTTTATTGATTATTGTTATAAATTGTGATGAATGATGATGATGACGGAGAATGTATTTTTTTCAGTATTTGATGCTAGCTCCAAATTTCCATACCCTGGACTTGCAGTATCTACTAGACTGGACTGGGGCAACTTCGATCAATGTATGGCCATTGATCATAACTTCGAAGGAGGCAGAATTTTGGGAAAATACTGTCTTAGCGGTCTGATTATACCAGATTTTACTAATGCAACAAGCGACGTAAGAATCTTATTCTAAAGACAACTCTTTTTGGTGAATATACATATATATCATTACAAGGAAGGCAAGATAAAAAAAGAATTGTCTTTCTATCTACTTTCTCTAGATTCTTCACTATTTTAACTCATCGGAATACCTACGACTAATAATTTCTCTATGAACTATTAGCAACCCGGTTGCCCGACTTTGAACTTGTCAGGCCAACTTTGAACTTGATCGGCCGACTTTGAACTTGACCGGCCGTCTTAACTCGACCGGCGGACTTCGACGTAGAGGGGCTATGTTCATTCTGGCTCAAGCCAATCAGAGACCAGTATTTGGTTGGAGGCCACGCCCACTAAACTAATCAAAGATCAGCGTGGAATTCAAATTGTTCGAATTGTTCATGCCACGTCACGTCAGCATCATGAATTAATTTGAAAAAGAGCTGTTGCCGCTGGGGAATTGAACCGGGGACCTTTGCATTATGAGGCAGCATTTATACGCACTGTGGTATTCAGACCACCAGTCAGAACTCTGTGATAGCTTGTTTATTTTGATGCTATTCAGACAGGCTAATGCTAATGCGATGACTTGAGTTAGATCCATCTGGTGGAAAGAAAATGGAAAAAACATCAACAATTCAACAAAGTCATGATGAACTTGGTACTTGGATGGATTATTTCCGATAAAACTCGAAATAAAAACAATTTGGAGGGGTATTGATCGGCACGTTGGCTGGATTATTTCGAAAAAACTCAAAATGAAATGAAAATTTTCATTTCATTTTGAGTCCATTATCATCATGTTGATAGTATCTAGAGATTACGCCTCAATATTATATCAATATAACTGACTGAACTCAAGATGGATAATATTGCTTGCACATTGTGATGACAACATCGAAATAGTATTGGGATCTGATTATGGTACAAATATATAGAATCAGGAAGTTGGATTCACAATATTGAACACAATGATTATTTGCAATATGATGATCATATTCATTTAACAATATTGCTCTTTCATCATCTTGATGATAGTTGCAAGAGATTACAACACAATATTGTATACATAAAGTTTACTGAAATATGCATAGGTAATATTGCTCTTATATTGAGATTTTATCATTGAATTGACCTTGGATTTTGATATGGTTAACATGAATGGAAACAAAAAGTAAACCTCACGATATTGATCCTAATAGTTATTTCCAATATCGAATTATCTTCATTCCTATTCATGGATGATATTATTGCTGGCACATTGTGATCACAGCATCGAATAAATATTGGGATCTGGTTATGGTACAAATATATGGAATCAGGAAGTCGGTTTCACAATATTGAACATAATGATATTTCGCAATATCTAAATCATCTGCATTTCTCAATATTGCTGCAACCTCATCCTGATGAAATCCACTAGAACAATATCGCTGGGATATTGGGATTTGATCATTGAATCCATATAGAGTTTGTGATATGGTACACATATATGGAATAAATTGATCGACCTCACGATATCCAACGTGATGATTCTTTGCAATATCGAGGTCATCTCCATTTTCCAATATTGCTTCATTATCAAACAGATGATGGTGTCATAAGAATACAACTCTTTATTGTATACATATAATTCACCAATATCCACACAAACAATATTGGTGGAATATTGGGATGTCATCATTGAATAGCGGTTTTGTATTCGATATGGAATACATATATGAAATCAAGGAGTCCACGTGACGATATTGAACCTGATGTTTTATTGCAATATCCTCCAAGATACATTCTATCGATATAGGTTACATATCCAGTTGTAATATGAACTGATATCAGGCAATCAATATATCTATCATGAAGATTTATCAATACCGAGACATAAATCATCAGGATATAGGTGGAATATAGATTTCATCACATATGTCATTATGAATATCGATACAATGTAGGATTCTCAAGATCCTGAAAAATGTAAGCCTATCAACATTGTATTTATATTGATCCGTCCAGCTCATCTATTCAATATCGTTACAATATCATCCGACCGATTTACGATATTCAAATATTGGGCCAATGCAGAGCCGATTTGCAGCCGATATTCTGTGCTACTGGGGAAAGACTGATAATATAGAATTTGGAGATATAATGAGCATTATGTTGAATTATTTTCAATAAATCTCAAAATAAAATGGCAAAAGCCACAGTTTTGGAATAATCGTCAACAGTAGACTGAAAATCGTATACAAACAACTCCAGCGATACTAGAACCGCATGGATTTCGTAATGATCTCCGGAAGATTCTTGAACCATTATCGCATATCGAGTAAAGTGAAGTGAAGTAAGTGTTGGAAAATTAATAAGGAGATACATTTTACATAAGGTAACAAACCTCGAACACACTGTATAATCATTTCCTGGAAATCTAATACAGAAAAATCTATAGTCAATAATCAACATCTATTGAAACGTAAACAAAGACCTGACGTTTGGCATAAAAACTTATCTGGTGAGAGTGTGAAATAAAGGAGACCATATACCGCGTGAGTCTACCAAAACGATGACCGAAACTCAAAAGGAAATAACAATTAAAGTTCTATTAGAAGAAATAATCAAAAACCGAAATGAAATAAAAAATGTAATTGAAGCTACTGAAGCTCGGATTACTCTGAGAGTTGAAGAACTGAAAAATAGAATCAAAGAATTAGAAGACGAAAACCAATATTTGAAGAATACCGTTGAAAAAATCAGTAGGGACTACAACAAGAAAAACATAATTATATTCGGACTGAAAGAACTAGAGGCAGACATCAACCCATCGTATATCTGCGAACAAATTAAAAATCTTCTAAATATTAAAATCAGTCCCTCAGATATAAGCGATACTTATAAGCTTGGCAAATTGGAAAATAGTCCAATAAAAGTGGAATTTGTTTCGTTCTTCACAAAAAAACAAGTTCTCCAGTCGTGTTACAAACTAAAAGGAAAAAACATAGCTATAGCCAATGATTTAACATTCGCACAAAGACAAGAAAGTAGGGCTTTGAGAGAGTGTTTACGAAGAGAGAGACAAAACCCTACTAACAAGTGCTACATTAAAGGAAACAGAATCTTCATCAACGATATAGCCTATACCTTGGAAGAACTGGAAAGAAAAGAAGAAATCTCGCAACAAAAACCGAATAGTGCTCCCCCGACACCAAACGTGAGTTCCAAAAATTCGGAGACAACTGACATTGATGTTTTCTATAGTGACTCACCTATAGAAATAAACAAAAATCCAAACTGTGAACCAGAAACCCCGAAACTATCAGAAAGAGCCAATATATCCAAGCCTTCAATGAATAACAAAACTACGAAGAATACCATTAGTGCCCTTTCATTGAAAGACAGAGTGAAAACTCGCTCAAACAAGTGAATACCTTTATGAAAATTTTTATTGTTAGTTGTTCTATACGCATAATTTATATATAACTTTTACATAACTGCCTTCACTTCAATTTTCATCTCAAATTATGGATCCCTATATATTAGACTTCCAAACGGATTCGATCAAAACTTTCACAGTCGATAATGGAAAGGAATGCAAGGAAATTCTGGAAGTTAACAATTGTCACGAAAACTTCAAAATCATTCACAATAACATTCGAAGCATTAATAAAAATATCGATGAATTCAAAATACTCTTATCCAATATTAACACGAGTTTCGATTGTATAGTTTTGACTGAAACCTGGAGGTTATTAGATCACAATATATATGGTATTCCCGGATACAAAACCATATACAATCAGGGTAGTTTCAATCAAAACGATGGAATAGTGATGTATATAAAGGAGGAATACGATTTTGAATTTGAAATAGTAGAACTAGACAAACTGAACATTTTGAAAGCAGTTATCAAATTCCACAATAAAAAATTCGTCTTAAGTGCTATTTACCGATCACCGGCATCTAATATCTCAGAATTCAACAAAAAACTTCAAAATTATTTAGATAATCAGCAAAACAAATCTGATGACTTATGAGTCGTCATAGGAGACATCAACATAGACATACTAGAGCGAGACGAACATAGTACAGAATACCTGAATACACTTTACGAACATGGTTATATCTCAACTATTAACGAACCCACGAGAATAAAAAGTTGCCTCGATCACATCTTTCTTAAATCCAAATCGTACATATCGGACATGACCATTCCATTAATTATTGAAAGTAATATAACCGATCACAAAACAACAGTATTACAAATCATAACAAATGATACAACCGAGGTGAAACACACGAAACGCAGTCACACAGAATACTTGAACTATCAAAAATTGGAACAAAAACTTCAACTGGTAAACTGGGAAACCGTGTACGCAAATCCAGATCCGAACCCCGCGATGAACGAATTCATTGCAATACTATCGTCAAAAATAAGTGAATGCACTGAAAGAAAAAAACAACTGAGGAAACATTCAAAACTCGCTCCTTGGCTAACAAATGCATTATTAACTTCGATTAACAAAAAAAATGATATGTTCAAGAATCTCAAAAAAGACCCAAATAACGATTTATTGATAAACCAGTATAAAATTTACAAAAATAAACTTACTAATCTGATAAAAAAAGTGAGGTGTGATTACTATAAAAAACAAATAGAAAAAAATCTCAATGATACAAAATTTCTATGGGAAAAAGTGAGAGAATTGAGTAATACAAAACCCAACAAAAATGTAATCTCGGCAGTCCGTAACCAAAATGGAGATATTCTTCATAGAAGCAAAGACATCGCGGATGAATTCAACCTCAGATTTGTTGAAATGGGAAAAACACTGGCAGAAAAAATTGTGAGAGATCCAAACCAAAGAGTATCTGGAAACATTCCTCTGAACTCAATGATTCTAACTCCAATTGAGACGAATGAACTGCTGAATATAATAATGGGCCTGAAGGATGGAAAAACTGTTGGAAAAGACAACATAAAAGCTGAAACTATCAAAGCTGTCTCCGAATACATACTTCTTCCTCTTCAACACTTATTGAATAAATGTATAGACTCAGAAATCTGGCCTGATATATTCAAACATTCAATTGTCATACCAATTTTTAAGAGGGGGGACAAAACAGTGGTAACCAACTACAGACCAATTTCTCTCATCACTCATATGTCGAAGATCTTCGAAAGGTTCTTGAAAAACAGATTGACATCATTCATAACAAAATATGGAATTATTTCCAGCAACCAATATGGCTTCAAGGAAAAAACGTCAACAGAAGATGCTGTTCTTGCACTATCTGAAAAAATTCACACATCACTGGAAAAAGGACGTCCATGTCTATGTGTATTCATTGACCTTTCGAAGGCTTTTGATACTGTCAGCCACCGACTACTTATTGAAACCTTAGAGCGAGTAGGTCTGAGAGGCAAATGTGCAAATCTGCTCACAAATTATCTACAAAACAGGAGCCAAGAGGTAAAAGTGTCTGACACAATGAGTGATCTGAGAGGAATAGAATATGGCGTACCTCAGGGAACTGTATTAGGCCCTCTTTTATTCAATTTGTATGTCAATGAATTATTTTCCCTCGATTCCCAAGGAACCGCTTCAGGGTATGCTGATGACACCGCCATTTTCTACGAAGCGGAAACATGGCTTGAGTTGAAACATAAGGTTGAAAATGATTTCAAGATTCTAAAAAACTGGTTCGACAGCAAACTATTAACGATCAACTTAGAGAAAACCAACTTTCTACCCTTTAGTTGCAACAAAGCGGGAAATCCCCCGTTTCAACAACTCGACATGAAAGTCCAGGGAGGCACTTTTCAAATTAATGCCGTAAAAAATATAAAATATCTTGGAGTTTATCTAGACTCATATATGAAGTGGGACATACATATTAACTACATCACAAAAAAACTTCGGACAATTTTATATAAATTCAAATTCCTCAATAATTTTCTGCCATTAAAGTCAATGAAAATATTATATAATACATTAGTGGAAAGTCATCTTCGATATGGAATTCTATTGTGGGGCAGTGCCCTTCGGACACACATAAACCCACTCGAAGTGCTACAAAAAAGGTTCCTCAAATTAATCATGAAGGAAAACACAAGATATTCCTCCAACTTGTTATATAAACAATGCGAAGTCATGGATATGAGGCAACTATTTTATTATTGTGTGAATGTGAAACTGCACTCAACCGGAGTTGTTGAACGACCCACACATGATTATAACACACGCAAAAAAAACTTATCAACACTACCACAAGTAAAAAAGTCGTTATCCCAAAGATCATAATAATATGCATATATTACAAAAAAAATACATAATAGTGTTCCTGATAGAATCAAAAGTGAAAAAAGCAAGTTCAAATTTAAAAGAGAACTAAAAAAATATATTCTGGAAAGCGATAGAAAAATAATATCCGATCTTATAGAAATGAAATCATAGTAGCAAAATAAAATAGATCCATACCTACACCACATTAACATTTTACTGTTATAAAATTCATTCAATGACCTCCATATTTGTTGGTTAGCCTAAGTTCTAATATTTTCCGTGCTAGATTCCATATATGTGTGTACATGTGTATATATGCATGTATTTGTGTGTATATATATATACCTTGGGTTATTATCCATGATATTTTGTTATTCTCATCTCACCGTACACCTATTCCCACATGTAATTGAAAAATTCAATTTTCCATCTTATTTCATAAATTTATTCCATTTCAATGTGTTACCAGAGATCCTATTCTAATTTTATGTGATGTGACATATATGTGCACTCATGTATATGTGTATATGTGTGTGTGGGTGTATATGTATGTGTATATGTATATGTACTCACAAATACACCAATCTACTCGCAATCGTAACTTTTTACTCTAAACTTTTTTTAATTATCTACCTTATTACATAACCTTTTACCATTTTATTTTTAATGTGTTACCTTAGATCCTAGTCTTATTTTATCTGATATTATTTTATATATATATATACTTGTTTGTTTGTTAATATCGAAACAAGTGAATGATCACTTATCGATTACTACTTTGTTCAACCCTATTCTTTGTTATTCTATTACCATTTTTTATACGTTTGTATACTGAATAAAGTTCTTATATATACATTCTTCAGCTAGGAATAAAAATAAAGGAGACCCCACCTCTGTATCTGATGAAATTATCGTATTTTTTAGGATCCTTACAAATTATCAATTTGTATCCCAGATGCATGTTCCGCGAATGATTACAAGGCAATATTCAGAAAACTTCCTGTATTCTTCCAGACTGGGACATGTGTAACAAAGGAGACTGGCACCGAATATACATCTGGTGATATAGTAACATTGTGAGTTTTGAACAATATTTTAACAATAATCATACGTTGGCAAGGTGCCAAGTAGTTCTATACATACCTAACTCGATCAAATGGAACCATATTTTGAATATTTGTGTTGTGTTTCAAAAATAATCTTGAAGTTGCTCAAGTAGGTTTGAAGTAGGACCTCATCTATCACCAGAACATTTGATTCAAAAATATCTTTTTATTTCTCCATTTCTCTTACCGCTACCATGTATATCAGTCATTGTTAACCTGAACTCACATTCCTGTGCCAGATTTTCCAGAAGGAAGAAGGAGAAGGGCATCCCAGTCCAGGAACCGTATAGACAATAACTAATGTCTCACCAAAATATTACTTGTTGATTTTGGAACAGTGCTAGAATTTTTTTTTTCAAAAAATGAAATTTTTGACCGTGATTTTTATTTTACTTTTGAATATTATCAATCCTATATCAGGTAAGAGTGAGAGTTTCATTAGAAATACTCCTAATTTCTTAGAAAAATTGAACGATATCACATTGGATATAAATGACACTCTTGTTAGTTTTGATGTAGTGAGTTTATTCACAAATGTTCCTATAGATAAAACTTTACAAATAGTGAAACATAAATTAGAAGATGATGAAACTTTTACTGAGAGAACCAATCTGAGTATCGAAGGAATTTTGGAATTTTTGGAATTATGCCTAAAAACTACATATTTTCAATTGGATGATGAGTTTTATCAACAGAGTTTTGGCATGGCTATGGGCTCAACACTATCTCCAATTTTGAGCAATATATTTATGGAGAATTTCGAAGAAAACGTTATTAAAAATTACGAAAAACAACCAAAAACGTGGTGGAGATACGTAGATGACATCTTCATAATTTGGCCACATACCCTTATAGAACTAGATAATTTTCTAGATCATGTAAACAATGCAGAACCTACTATAAAGTTCACTTTGGAAATTGAATCTGACAATCAGTTACCATTTTTAGATGTTCTTATCAAAAAATCAAACAATGTTTTCTCAACAAGTGTATATCGTAAGAAGACTCATACTAACAGATACCTCAATTTTCAATCAAATCATCAGAAAGCTATCAAAAAAGGAATAATCAGATCACTTCATGATCGAGCCAAATCAATATCATCTAACCAACAAATTTTCAATAACGAAATCCACCACATCAGAGATGTTCTTCAACTCAACTCATATCCAAGGAACTTCATTGATAGAACGATTCACCAAATTGAAAACAAACAAAATACACCACAACAAAAACAACCATCAATAACGACGAATATAATACCGTACATTCCCGGCATATCTGAAAAAATAAAACGTGTTGGTGATAAGTTCCAAGTGAAAACTGTGTTCAAAACTGAAAATACAATGAGATCCATTCTAACTCAAACAAAGCCAAAAAATGAAGAACAATCATCAAAAAATTGTATTTATAGTATACCTTGTGTTTGTGGAAAGTATTATACAGGTGAAACGAAGAGACCTCTCTCAGTAAGGACAAAAGAACACAAGTACAATATCAAGAAAAGACATATCGATAAATCGAAGCTAACTGAACATATCCTCACTGAAGATGGACAACATATGGCACAGTGGAATAATATCAAAATCATAGGAAAGGAAGATAACAAACAAAAAAGAAAAATAAAGGAATCCGCTTGCATTCTTCTAAACGGAGACAATAGCATTGCTTCCTGTTCAGTTGATATTGATAGAACATGGTATTCACTACTGAAAACTGAACATGAAAATGGTAGATTCAAGATCAATTAATGAAAACATCCTGTAACTCATTTGTAGACTAAAATCACTCATTCATATGCCAACATCAGTATGACATTGAAAAGTGTCAAACTATACGCAGCAAAAATTTCAAAGAAAAATAATTTGCATTTACATGTTGAGAACGGGAGCAGAATCGGTCCCGAAACGTCCAAAGATAAGTACAAATTCGATATTTTTTCAATATATCTATATTTCTTTCCTTCAAAAATTTTTTCAAACAAATTGTCACTGACAAGCTACTGGATTTTTCTTTTAGACTCCCTGATAGAAAAATTTGTTAAACGCAGTGACATTTTGTCCCTCTACAAATATATTGAAATAATACGAATACTTTTATTTTATAGAAACGAGGAGAGAAAATCCCAAAGAACCAAGTAAAATGAATGTACCACCTCCTCGATTAACCTACAGACAGTATTTTTGACCGTGCCTCGTATACACACAGTTTTACTATAATTTTTTTCTACAAACGTCAAAAAATGACAAGGTTCGCGCATTGATAACAAATTGCGAAGGGACACTTTTTTTCAGTTTCCTACGTTACCATGATTCCTTGCACAAAACAATGCGCGAAGTACCTACTTCGCGCATTGTTATGGAAAATATATGAGATATTTATATTTCATCTAAATGTTCCTTAATCGAGAAAACATCAAATATATCATTTATTTCTGAATGTTCAACAATAACTTCGTTTTATCTCTTGGAGCGTACGAAAGGAAATTTCTATTATGTTCGTGGAACATCGTGCCCACCTAGGGAGGATAGGGGAGGCCTTCTAAGCCAGTTCAACACCCTTTTTCATATCAAGCTAAGCATATTTTTACTTTAGAACTATATTTTTTGACGTTTGTAGAAAAAATGTTGTTTGCAACTCGAGCGCGAAATACTTTGGTCATCTCGACTATTTTTTTAACTCGGCTACGCCTCGTTAAAAAAATCAGTTCTCGATCACCAAAGTAGCATTTCGCGCTCTAGATACAAAAATAACTAATGTGATTATAACTGATACGTTCATGAGTTCCGATAAAAACATTTTCTAGCTCACTTTGTCCCATATATACTAAAAAAACTGTTTTTTTCTTTGTTATTCCTTCCCCGATAAGACGTTTTTACGAGCTTCTCCGGCTTATATCTCAGAAAATAAGCATACAAAACTTTCAATCTACTCACTGCATCGAAAGTAAGTGTTTGCTCCCTCTTCTTAGGATACAAACCTGTCATTCTTGTCAATTTATCCCACGGGACGAAAACATATATATCATCTCCTGCGGGAGGTAAATTGAATAGGCTTCAGCTTTCTTTCTTGGTAGAGATATGTGCTCCCTAAGTACCTAATCAGTGTCTCCATCACTACTATGAAACAAATAACAATTTCGAAAGAGGTTTGCGCGGCAATATTTTGTGATTTGTCGAAAGCTTTCGATTGCGTGAATCATGAAATACTGTTGCGCAAGCCTGAGTTGGATAAAGTCATATTTAAGTGACCGAACCCAGTTTGTTAGAGCTGACACTATCTCAGAAACAGGTTTTGTTAAATATGGTGTACCCCAGGGCTCTGTACTCGGACCAATCCTGTTTCTACTTTATTTCAATGACAGAGAATCTCGAAATTGATGGTGAGTTCACTATTTTTTCTGATGATACTACCATCCTATGGCATGAGACCGACCGAATAGACAGATAATATCCTGAACTTTCAGAATCATGTTGACTCTTTGTGTAAAAAATTGGCCTCGGGATGTTATGCCTTACGAACTGTCTCCAATGAATTGGGTGAGGCTACAACGGAAATTGTGTATCATGATTTAATTGAGTCCATTAGATATGGAATACCTTTCTGGGGCAACTGCAGCCAACATAACTTTGATACAATTTTCATTCTCCAAAAGCGAGCAGTACGATACTTATGTAAATCTGGACCTAGGGCTTCGTGTTAACCTCTATTTAAAGAGCAAAAAATTCTAACTCTTGCATCAATATTTATCCTTGAAACTGTGTGTCTAGTCCATAAAAATAAATCGTCATATGAGATAGTTGTCAGTCACACTCGCCAAAATAACAACTTGAGACTGCCTATCCCATCAACAAACTTGATTAAAAATTCAGTGGTCTACCTGGCTGCCAAATTGTATAACCATCTTCCGGTCAGTCTCAAGAACATCTCCTCTCAAAATCATTTTAGAAAATCTGTGAAGCAAGTTTTTCTTGAGGAGGCACTTTATAATGTTCAAGAATTTCTTAACAAAGATTGGAATAGTTCTCATCTATTTATTTATTTACTTCATATTTACAATTTTACATATTTATGTTCAAACATGTTTGTCCCATTTTCAGTGTGTTATTTATAGTAAATAAGTATATGTATGAACTTTAATTGTGACATGTAACTGTTGAGTTACTATACCGTTTTTATAACTCTTTATTTTTTTTAATTATGTGTATTTATGTAAAGGCTTTGTCTATGAGATTTATCTTTCGACAATAAAGTATATTTTGATTGATTGATTGATTTCATATTCGTGGATAAAATCATGTATATATCTTGGGAACAAAGAATCATGTCCTCCCATGTGTGTTTAATGTCCTCCGCTACGCGTCGGGCATCAATCTTCATACGCGGTAGGAAATAGATACCTTTGCTCCCTTGATATATAAATAGCTATTATTTGTATTTGTATTTGCAATGTATCGACGTCATGATCTCAACTATCAACAATTCAGGCAACGATACATGCTAACTCATCACATACCTTCTTCATACTGACCGAGCACTGAGCAGTGAGCAGTGAGTTTGATTCCTGCTATGCCTAGTTGATTATCCATCGCGTATGTGTATTAAATTTTGAGCTATAGTCAACTGGTTCGAGAACATCTCGTTCTATTATACTGAAAATCCTATATGATAGCAATTTTGCTTACATCTGTATATTGATAGGTAGTATACAGGGTGTCCGGAGATAAAACCGACAAGACTTGTGGGGCTATAGGGACTGTCAATATGATTGCAAAATGCCATAAACCAATGTCCAAAACCGCTTCGTTATTGACATACAGAGTGATTTGTGGATTTTGACAAAAAATTCAATCCGCCATATCAAATACAGGGATTAACCCATAAGATTCAAATTTGGTTCACGAATTACACTGAAAAGCATCAACAAGTAGCCCTTTGATCAAAACCAATATCAGGACCGGCATGATATGTTTGCCCTATGTTGAGTTATTGTGACAATAACTCACCCTGTATAATAATAACAAAAAATTTCAACTCAGAATCGACATCTACGGTAAAAATTGTATAGGAATTTGTTGAGAAATCTCCTGGCACTATCTTAGTTATTCCGTAATTAATTATTATTTTAATTTTATTTTTTCAAAATTCAATCATTGTCGGATAAAGTACTATCAAAATTGGTAATATAATAAATATTAACGAAACCATGACATGAATATCGTTATTTTCTTCAATCAGTCCGTAAATCGTTGTAAAATAATATACTCTCATTACCCGAAAAAACTGAAAAATAAATTCGTATCAGGACTGGAATGCGGTTTTCTATGATTATATTCCTGTAAGAATAGATGATCTAGTATAACAATGATCTGATCGCAGATTCGAAATGCACTGAGAAAAGTTAAAAACTTGTTGAAAAGTGATCGGATTGAACTTTCAAATAATAAATCCGTATCAGTACCTTATAATGTTTGTGTATAAAGAATACTAGGCTTGTGTCAAATTCAGAATTTCATTATGGAAAACCATTGTTCAGCTGTCATCAGCGTTTGTTTTATTGGTGTTCATTCATTATTCCAGTGTTTTTTGGATCAAACTATAGTTCTGAGAGTGTACTTATAATGCCGTTTCATTTCACTTATGAGGAATACGCAGATATTCTATTTGTGTTTGGGCTTTAACTGGTGATGTTTACCTAAATTTCCTGGTCAATACTCGACCGGATCTATTGCAAGGTGTAAATACCTCAGGTATATGGTTTCAGCATGATGGTGCTAGACCTCACTTTTCAGTTCCAGTTAGAAACCATATCGATGCCAATTACCCCAATAGATGGATTGGCCGTGGAGGTTCAGTAAATTGGCCACCGCTATCCCCTGATCTAACTCAGCTAGATTATTTTTTATGAGGTCATTAAAAGTAAGAAGTTCATAATGAAGAAATTTCTTATGGACAATTACCCTCAAATAATTCGCAAGTCAGTGAATCATCTAATAGCACGCTCTCAAAAATGTATTGATTTTGGAGGGCTCCACTTCGAAAATGTTTGTAATACTGGTTAGTGAGAGTTTTTCACGAATTCGTTGCTTTTGTTATGTTCATTACAAACAGTTATTGTTCGTTGTGTAGTATTCTCATAAATTCAAATTCATTAGTGAGCGAATATAATTTACGACAACTTCACTGTTATCCTTCTTTAACAGGTTCTTATACGATTTTTTCAGATTCCGAATCTACGATCAGATTATTGATAACTATTGATGTACTACTGTACTAGGTCAGCTATAACATTACCAAACAAAACACTCAGTCCAGTCCTGATACGAATTTATTCTTCAGTTTTTTCGGGTTATGAGAATATTTCATTTTACTCCGATTCATGAACTGATCGAAGAAAATAACGACATTCATGTCATGGTTTCGTAAATATACGTACTTTATCCGACAATGATTGATTTTTCAATGAAAAAAATCAAAATGATAATTAATTACGGAATAACTAAGATGGTGCCAGGAGATATTTCAACAAATTCCTATACAATTTTTACCGTAAATTGCGAATCTGAATTGAAATTTTTGGTTATTATGATACAGGGTGAGTTATCCTAACAATAACTCAACATAGGGGAAAAATATTATTCCGACCCTGATATTGGTTTCGATCAAAGGGCTACTTGTTGATGCTTCTCAGTGTATTTCGTGTACCAAATTCAAATCCAATCGGCTAATCCCTGTATTTTATATGGCGGATTGAATTTTTTGTCAAAATCCACAAATCACTCTGTATCTCAGTAACGAAGCCGTTTTGGACATTCGTTTATGGCATTTTGCAATCATATTGACAGTCCCTATAACCCCATGAGTTTTGTCGGTTTTATCTCCGGACACCCTGTATATACCCCACTAAGAAATTATTGGACCTATTCATCTAAATTAGACGAAGGTGACAATTTCTGTTTTGAAACTAGTTGATTATATATAAATACAATATTTATTAGTGAAGTTGTGCATCTCTAGCAATTTCTTTTGACAGTTGTAGACAACATTGTGTTCGAAGCGAAAGTAAGGGTTTGTGGAAATGAATTCGAATTTTTGCTTCTTCTTCAACATTTGATTCCACTTTGAGCATTCTGATTGCTATATGTTTTAGTGAAGCGAGTAAAGTGTTTTTTAGGAATTACTTAATCGTAAAAAAGTACCATTTTACCCACTTGTTGTATTTTTTTGTAGAACAATATTTGGTGCAGTTGGGATACTGATGATTATCTCCACGACCTACGATGTTTATTTGAAGAAGAAAATGTTGAGTAAGTATACCTTCATTTTCTATATGAGATTAAATATATTTAGAACTAGCTGTCCGACCTGGCATGAGCGAATTAATGAATAGCCGAAAAATACGATTCCTATGCCAAAATGATTGTGAAAAACTATTTCAATCACTTGTAAACGAATAAGAAAAGTGAGGTTGTGTTTCAATGTTGTTCCTCCAGGGTCGGTCATCTGACAGTTCTTATACCCAACCCATACTTTATTACCCTTTATTCATGAAAGGTTATGATGTGACAAGCCACATTTGGGAAAATTGTTATTAATACACCAAGGTAAAGATTGGATCCCGAGGCTTCAGCCGAGAGGTATAAGGTCCCCTACTAGCAATATATTTCAATCATTATAGTTCTGTGAAACTGAAATGCGGATCTTGGTCACTATGAAAGCACTTTTTTTCAATTCAAATTAGAATCTAGTCAGCATAAGAGCATACGTTTTTTTTTTTACCACCGGGATAAATATGAACGAATATGAGGGAAAAGAGGTAGGATTGGAAGAATCAATGAAACAGGTAGATATATTCCACTTTTCCAAAAATAAAACAATCCATAAAATAATCATTATGGCCTCAACAGGTGGCTAAGTATGTCTCTATTGACTGTATAGTGGTTCATAAAATGACGAAAACTAACTTGGTAGTAAAAACACATTTCATGTCTTCTACCTATAGGTAGTGGTGGAGAAAATACGTACTACCCTATTTTCATCACTTGGGTCACTTCTAGATTGTACATAGTTTAGTTATAGGGTCACAGTTACTCTCATTGAATGTCGACCCAACCTCTCTATTTTTCTTGATTGAATCTTTAGCATTCACAGCATATTATCGTAATAGCTCCGCTCGAATCGGCCATTCGGTGTGGTTTGTCATTATGCCGGGTAGTCGGTAGTAACTAGATGAGAAATGAACCTATATATATTATCAATATTGTGACCATAGGTTGTTCGTGCCATCTATTAACGAAGGCCCGTAATCATTTTGTAGTGACTTGTTATACAATTGATTCAACCGAGAAGAGCACAACTCTTTTCGAACTCTTGTGTGGCTTGTCATTGTTTCACATCGAGCCCTTCAATTGGAGTTGCATTACTCTGTTGGGTAACCTATGTAAATTATTGTAAATCAAATAAATAAATCAATAATTGAATATTCATTTTGCAATCTTCAGAATGTCGTCACCCAATGCTCCTGGCCTTTTCCGTTTACACGAACGGTAGAAAGTTACTGCAAACTTCGAAAGGAAACAATTCAGAACAGATATTATGTTTTCAAGGAATGAAAATCATTAGCATGATGTGGATAGTACTTGGTCACGGTATGGGTGGTTGGATGCAACTACCTATCACAAATAAGGCTGATGTGAATCTCGTGAGTATTATATCACAAATAACTCTCAATGTCATAACTCGAACAGTTTCTTGCACAAGTTAATGTAGTAGGTACTATTCGCGAGATTCACGAAGTGGGCGACATCTAGGTTACATAATACGAACCTCAAACTGGGGGAAAATAAACTGTTGTCTATGGATGAAGTGCATAGACTACATTGCAAACAGCTTGCTTTAACTGTAGTTGTCAAACTTGTCAATGACATAAAGTGTTGGCACTGTTGCCACTGTTGGTAGTGATGATGATTGAGTTGGTTGATTTTTTTACATTATTACATTTTTATTAGTTTATTGAACAGTGAACGGGTGAAGAATTGGAGATAGTTCAAACAATTCAAACTAATTATGACGAGCAAATCAAAAAAGTACTGCTCAGTGCAATAATTATATTTCGGAAAGTGTGTCAATGCATTTTTTTCCAAAAGATCCAAAGCTAGCCCAACAATACCCAGATTGCAGGAACAAATACAAATCCATTATTCTACAGGAGTTCCTCTGGACCCCAACTTCAATTTTACTTCATGTGGGGAAGATTTCATCGCCGAAGTTTGTAGACAAAGTGCAAAAATGTGCCTCTTGTTGAAGTCTTCTGCCTCACACAAAATCACATGATTAGCACGAAGAACTGCTTCTCCTTCCACTACTGGTCGGCTTTTTCCATCTAAATAGAACAGAATATCTGCCAAAAGAACATCTACAACAGGCATTATTAGCGTTTTCGATCGAATATTGACAATGAATCTCAAGAAATTTAAAAACTTATCACTCTCATCAGTACACAGTACACAAGCTAATGGCACTAATGGAATTGAGTGAGGATTGAGTTTGTTTTCCCCCAGTTTTGACGTGGCTTTGACATGGAACGATGAAAACCGAGCGTTGATTCCCGCGAATTCTGTATAGCTTGTGACGTAGGGGTTAGACATGTTGGCTAACATAGGTGAGAGGCCGATCTAGGTACAAGAGTCTCGAGATCATACCCGTGTGTTCACCGAACACGCCCGATCGTTCCCTAAGCGGTGGGGAAACGTAAACGGGCAGCAGTAACTACGTTATGAATATTGGCGCGTGCCTGAATTATTTTGGATTCAAATTTGTCAATTTACTGTACTTCGAAACGGAACACTAGTAGTTGTGCCTTCTTGTTTTACATATATTATAGGTAGACATCAAATCGATAAACATAGTGCTCTCGCCATCGGTATTTGCTGAACTTCGCTATGGGAAAAATGTTGGGATGAAGAATGATCTATACAGGGTGTATCTAAATAACACCGAAATAATTCAAGGGATGATTCCTTGTGATATAATATGATGAATAAAGGTCATATAAACATGTGTCCTAAACTTGCTTCGTTTTCGAGGTACAGGGTTACGTCCTGATTTCGAATCCGAAGTGATTCTTAACCTATATCTTGCCTCCTAATATCATTTTCCGGAAATGTTGGTGGGCCCATGACCAGAGCAGTGTTTTTCACTGAAGACTACCTCACTTTGGTCACAGTTGGTATATTTATATCTATCGCTCCTTAAAATTGAACAGTTACGTTAGATACACGGGTTGATATTCCATTATAGAAGTGACATGCACACTGTTTATATTTTTAAATACATCCAGTGGGATTATTTTATGTTGAATATTAGAGTGTGTTTTTCGAGGTGTTTTTTTATGTGATATTTTTGTTTTGTTTATTTCAAATATATATATTTTTTAGTAGGCATACTAGTACTTCTTTTATATAATTCTGAAATCTGATCCACCCTGTATTTGTTTCAATTGAATGGCATCAGTAGATAGTAAATAGAATGTTAGGATAGGGACACATGTAAGCCATTTTGACAAATCAATATAGGTATTGTATAGTTTCGATACAAAAAAAAATCTCGATTTTTCACATTTTACGTATAGGTATACCTTGAGCTTGATCAACGAAATCATAGCTCAATTAGAAGAATCGAAAAATGTAATAAAATATAAGGTGTTCCATTTTGAATAACAAAGCTACTACTACTATACTACTAAGTACTACATAACTACTAATAATAATTTCTAGTGAAGCAGATGAACATTATCGAAAATAATTTGAATAAAAACGAGCGTCCTCGCCAACAAAACATAAGCATATAATATGTACATATACTTTCATGATTTTTGATGAGTGGTTCGCTATTTACATGTAGGACTCGTCGTGACATAGCCTCGGACATAGCGAATTATTGCAAATCAAATCATCGCTTTCATTATCTGATATAGGTCGCAGTAGATCACTTGATGCCTATCAAATGTTTCTTATTTATTCGAAAAAAAAAATGTTGAAATGTGATCAAGAAAACTGTTGGTGGCCCACCCCGTACTACAAAAACAAAGACAGCATGAGAGAAGCTGCCTGCCCACTCATTGTATCATGACTGCCTGCTTACGTCTCGGTCTCCCCACCGCTTAGGCAGAGATAATCTCTGGCTTAGGTAACGATCGAGCGTGTTCGGTGAACACACGGGTATGATCTCGAGACTCTTGTGATCTAGGTCGAGTTCCGATATTCCCAATCAGTACTGTTCAGTAGTCTAGACTGTTCCGAAATTACTGTTATCTGTTGGCAGCACTTTACCGCGTTCTGTTAATGAACCTTGTGCAAGGCTAGAAAATTCACTGTTCGCTACTGACATCAAATGTCAAATGGTCATGTGGCGCCAGAAATATCCCCTCTCCTCTATGAAAAACTAGAAAGTGTTGTTATATAGATTATTATATTATTCGATTTTATGTGCTGTTCGTTGTTGGATTGTTTGTAGTGTATTTTACAAATATAAATAATATTGTTATTTCGAACCAAAAACCATCCAATGAACAAAAATTCATCGTTTGATGTTATAAAAATGTTTCGGGTAGTTTTGAGTGACTTCGAAATTGAAGTGGATGATGAAATTCGATATCCTTGGACGAGGAATAATTTTACCTCTCATATTTAGGGTATAGATATGAATCCATGCAATACATACTATAGGAATTGATATATTTCATTGTCACTGCTACTAGAAGTATACCTACTAGAACTACTGCATACCATCAGCAATATCATATTCATCAGATGAAGAATGAAAAAATCAGCAGTAACCGCTAGAGCGAGAGTACATATATTTGTTTACTAAATTAGTAGGTTTACATACATGTTATATGAAGACTCCACAGGACCCCATTGTTCTCGAGGGGTCACCTCTATCCAGTGTTTACCAGGCACCACAAAGATCTCCTTGTGGCGCAGAAGACGAGGCCTTCAATGCAGCAGCTTCTAGAACTTCGCCACACTATTTCATTGTTTTTGCTCAAGTATAAAAGCTAGAATTGTAAACAAGTTAGTTCAGTGCAGTGCAGTGCAGTGCAAAGTTAGTCGTAGTCATACACTCACTCAATATCTTGTATCTTTGGTGATGAAATCACCCTGTATAATAAAGTGTTTTTTTAAAAAGTTTATTTTGAAAGAAGTGATATAACATACATAAAACTTGAGTTGAATGAATTATTTATTATTCTCATTCCCATACCTTCCCACCAAACAACGATATATTCCTATACCAACACTTATAACTGTCACCAGCAAATTCAGTAATATCGGAACTCGGCTATAGTATGTAGATCGTGATTTTTGACATCTTATCACAAAACTGCCACTAGGTGGCTTTTTTTTATCGCTGGGAGCCCACGAAAGGTAATCCCTATAATGTTCGAGGAACATCGTAGGTACCTATAGTAGTCCGATCAAATGGAATTTTTTCGCAAACATTGATCCGTTAGAACGGGATCGTATGTTTCGAGGGGCCCAGAAGCGGATCTGAAGTTTGCTGCCTCGTAGCAGGACCGACTCAGTCGAAAAACGCAACAAACGGAATGACTTACAGGACGAACAATATAATAGTTTTCAAAGTTGAAGAACATAAAATTGTGCGTCGAATGACGTCTCTTCCTCACTTATTTCCAAATTATTAATTTTTGTGAAAACTGCAATATACTCACTTTCAGACGACTGTAATTTGAAGACAAATATACTCTACGTGAATAAATTGTATACTGAAAGTCATGGAGCTTCAAATTTTGAGCTGAGTGGACACCAAAAATTCGTATTTGGATCGAAATACAGGATGGTCCGTTTTTTAATACAGAACATTTAACAGAGTAAAGTACTCGTTGAAATAATGAAAAAACTTCCTATGAACATATAGTTTTGAACGCTTCGTTTTTGACATATTGGGTGTCAAAAATACGCTTCTGAATATATTTTTTCAATCAAAAGTTAGAAACGGTAGATAAATTAACGAAATCTTCCACAGATACTAAACTTTTTGAGCTTTATTAGATTAAATAAAAATTATTCATAAAAACTATTCAGTGGCGGCTGAATCTGGGGTGGCGAAGGTAATAATTACACAAATTTTTCGGTAATTATTTTTCATTTATTTTTCAAGTTTCAATGAAAGAAGCTCGCTTGTGAGATTTTATAACATTTCTTAGTTAAATAATACTACTTGATATCAATTAAAGAAGTAGGCTATCCTCAGTTGGCTTACTGTTCACTGTTTATATGTGATGTCCCTCTGAAAGTTCTGTCAAAGAAATAACAAACTGGAGTTATTCTGTGTTTTTATCAAGAAGTGTAATAATTTTATTCCAATTTTGCCGTTTGTCAATATGCCTATGGGATTTAGTACTGAAGAGTATGCAGATATTCATTTCGTTTACGGATTTTGTAATGGAAACGCAGAGGCATAGCAGTTCGGGAATACAGAAATCGCTTCCCTAGGAGAAGGGTACCTAATGCACGAGTCTTTATCAATACTCACTCACGTTTCCGTCAGTTTGGGTTACGTGGCAAAAATGAACAATACCAAAATAATGGCCCACTGAGAAGAAATGATAACAATCACATTCTTAGATTTTTTTATGTTAACCAACAAATCAGTTCTAGAAAAGCAGCTCAACAGTTGTAGGTGATTTATAAACTAATATCATGTCATGCTTTTAGTAATTTTGCTCTTTTTTCGTTTAATACTAGTTATCAGTTTATACTATTGCACGCATGAATAAAAGTAATAGTTCCGACTTTTTTCAGGTTTCAAAATCGAAAATTTTACGAACAATACATTTAGATCACAGAAAGCCTTTTCATTTGATGCCGGTAAAACATTTACATCCTGTGAAGATCCTGAGAAGAGAATGTCTTTTTCGGAATCTATATTGAATAAAGTTGACAACAATAACGACTTTTTACATAAAGTCTTATGGACTTGAACACCCTATATCTCGAAAACGAAGCGTTTATAAGTATATGTTCATAGGAAGTTTATTTATTATTTCAACGAGTACTATACGCTGTCAAATTTTCCGTATTGAAAAACGGACCACAATGTGGTTTTCCGTCCAAACGCTTATTTCAACAAATATGAAGGTGTCCAGTAGGGCTTCGCAAGACCAATACCAAGACTGATTAGTCTTGGTCTTGGTCCCGAAAAATGAATATATTCTTGGTCTTGGTCTTGGTATTGGTCTTGATATTTCAAGACCAAGACGAGACTGGCATTTTCATCAGTGACTCTCTGAATCCTCGACGTACATGACGTCACTCACAACACGCGATTTTTTTCTTCCTCAATAGACTACCACGTCTGCGGCTTGGGCTAGTGGTCATTTTTTTATTTTGATCTTTCTTGTGAATTTCCGACAATACTTGCTAAAAAAAGTGCATTTAGGCCGAGTTAGGTTGAGTTGTTTCGAAAAAGTTGTCTTTTACTGGAAGCATATTTTCCTCCCTTATATTACTCCGACAGCCACCGATGGAATCGGTATATCTAGACACTTGTCTAGAACATGAAGTGGTGGAACTGATGATTCTCGTTTCAGGCAGTACAGGCATTACGTAGTTTCTGGATGACCGCAGCTCCAATAGCAGTCGAGACTTTTTTTTATATATCAGGATTTCTGACAGTCTACTTGTATTTAAAAAAACAGAAAAAAGCACCATTAGCAGTACAGATAAAGAATATACCATTTCTGTATATTCACAGGTACTTCAGGTAAGCTGGAATATATAGGGTGTTTCAGATTCAAATGTAAATAACTATAGATAGACGACACTTTGATGGTTTCAAATTGCGAAGAGTTTATCCCCTGTAGATGTAGTAGTTTTTAGTAATGAAGTGTTGATGGAAATGTCACTCAATTTTTGAAATAAAAAAAAGTCAACACCACCCATTGATGTCTCTACCTTCTTTTATAACTGAGATAGAGGAAGTTATCTTGATTTTGGCCAAATTTTCATTATATGAAGTGGTTAAAAAATGATGACGAGATAAATATTATGCCAAAATCAAACTTAAGGTCCTTTATCTCAGTTGTAGAAGACGTTAGACGTAGAAACATCAATGGAGATTGATTTGAAACCATATAAGTTCCTCTATTTACCGGTATTGTATGTACAGGGTGATTCAACATCGATCCCTTCCCTGCTAGCTCAGTTATTTTTGAACCGATTTAAAAATTTGAAAATGCATTCTAAATGATTTTTCAGATTCTGGTTATCTGGGTGAATATTCGCCGAAAGTAATGCGAAAAATCAGAAATAAACACCGCTTGTATCTGCAAAATTTTCATGAGGCATATTGTGCTGAATCTTCATATTTTAGTGTTTACTATCTGCAGTTTGGAGATTTTCCATTCATAATGAATAATTCTGTTTATATCATGAGAACAAAGTTTCGCCACGTGTCGTGCATCAAATTTCACATGAGGAAGGCAATTGATACCTTTCTTCCCTTGATAATAAATAGCATGAATGAATTTTGCAATGATGGACTTATTCTTATAGGTTCATATTTGATTTTTTATTTCAAAATTTCTCCATTAAGAAATACTACATATTCAGTCGAATAATCTCACTTGTATTTTCAAGATGTAAACATTTTCAGTTTCTCTTATTCTACACTTCATTAGCAGAGGGCGATATACAATATGCGAGTTGATAGTTCCAAATTTCGTAGCTACGCTGGATGAATGTATGATTACTATTCACCTCGAATTATAACAATGCACCCCTAAGGTGGCGTACCTATGGAGTTACTAACAAAGACTATACAGAACACATACTCCCTAACAATTATTCTTGTGTTCCAGGCTCACTCCGGCTGTTATTATGGTGTATATATTGAGTATTACATCCTTCTCCCATTTGGGTTCAGGTCCAATATGGCAATTGGGCGTTGACTATATATCGAAACCTTGTAGAAAATTTTGGTGGTCATTCTTCTTATACATTCAGAATTACGTAAACTACGGAGACAATGACATTGTGAGTATATATTAACATTTGTGATAATAATAAATTGCCAACATTTATCTTGGCGGAGTTTAGCAAGGCCACACTTTTCCAGTCAACTAGGTTAGAAACGTCAATTACATTCTTTTAAATAATAACAATAATAATACCAGTAGTAATAGTGATATTATTAAAAGTGATGATAATAATGATGATCATTGCGTTTTGCTCAGGGCACATGGATCTTGGTCCCGGTTATCACTTTACCACATGGAAAGTGGGGAGTGGTCACTGGATTCCATCCATAATAATAATGATAATAATGAGCTTGCAAGGATGGATGAATCGCTTTGGGGAACACTTCTGGAAGGGCCTGACAACTGGCACATCAGCTGTGCCGTGTATGACGTGGTTTGGTCCTCAGCTGGGGAGACTTATCCAAAAGGTCTCACCGACTCAGAGGGCCGAAAGGCGTGAATAAAAGATAGAAGCTAAGATCCACACTTTCAGCCCAGTATCTAGTGTGTGATGAACTATGTGAGTGCCAATAGGCCATTCATACCAAAGGTGTGACGGATGGTCACTAAATTGCGTCGTACACATCACACACTCAATGAGACAGTGCTATCCACTATCAAACAGCACTGCCTCGGAAGGATATGGATGTTAGCGGCTGCAAAACAGTCACTTAAGAGGCGAGCGAGAGGGCTGGTAAAAGACAAATAATTCCCCGATAAGCTCGCTCTCTTATTCCAACCGCCGCCACGTGTCGTTGATAATCCGCCGACTGCTGATCAGGTGGTAACCTTTTGGAAGGATATTCACGAGGTGAGGCATCCATTCAATAGATATACTCCAACCCTGGCGCAGTTCGGTGCCTTCGGAGGAATATACCGAGGGCCCAAGCCCGAGTTACTCGAAGTTTCCGTCTACCCACCACCATTTAGCCAAGATATTAAATAGTTGGCTAAATGGGGAGCAGCAAATCCCTGTGGTTTATCGAAGGGCGAACCGTGCTTCTCCTCAAGACTGAAGATTTGTCCAGTCCAAAGAATGACAGACAAATCACAAATCACATTCACACGCATCTTGGACATGCAAGTGTTCCTAGTAATTTATCCGGTTTACCAATGGATTTTTGAGCAGTGTGGGTCGAAGAGTGGTGTCGCTGACTGCAAGGAGAACCTGTTGATAGATAGATATATCACACAGGACAACTTCACATGAGTTACTCATGTGCTTTGTTACTGGCTGAAATGCAGTTCATGGAATAATACCGTAGTAACCGAGAAAATAGGATGTTTCCATAATTAACTTCAGTACAAACCTTTCAGTACAGCCAGTAATAGGTATTTTATCATTAAATATCACAGTCACCTAATCAGGTCATCCTGTTCGATGAATTTGATAATATTATACCAGATGCACTGTTTGTTTACTTGATCATAATACATAATCTTGTTTCACGATTGAGGTTATCAAGCTGAACAGCTAATCCTCAAGAGTCGATGTGTTCCTTTCTTCTGTTTTCTTTCAATCTGTTTTCTCGTCTTTTGTTTCCTCTTTAACTGTCGGGTGAATTCAGCGGATTTTGTCAACATTCCAACAACTATGGGTTAAGTATTGACAGATGGTCGAGATGTTGGTCACCTATGGGTAACCGGTTGGTTGGTTATAAATTCCGTGCTCCTTGATGCGTGCGACTCTCAAGAGAGAGATAACAATATATTTCGGATTTTTCATGGAAAATTTGTTTTCTCAGAGTGAAGGGAAAATAGCGTCGCAAGCGTTCTATATTCTATCGAATTCTCGATTTTTTTAGCATTAACATGTGTATCTGGTGAGCACAGTGAGAATGAAATATTTGTTATATCTGAAAAGGTTTCCGCCGCAGTTCGAAGTCGGTGGTCCCGAACTCGCTTCCGTACGAACCGAAAAACGACGAAGGATGAGAACTACGAAAAAGACGCGCAGCTTGTGGACGTAAGCATCTAACATCACCTGGATGCCAGAGAGACGTATACCTACCTGGGTGTAGAGGAAAGTCATATTCAGGAGAGGCACTGCAGGTGAAATACGCAGCAAGTATCGGCAGCGGCTCCGACAGATCTGGTCGTCAGAACTGTCAGGAAGGAACAAAGTCGCTGCTACTAACATGCTCGCTGTTCTGATCCTACTTTATTCATTTGGAGTGATAAAGTGGACTCAAGTCGAGCTGCGACAACTTGAGATACCTAAGTTCTCGCAAGATAATGCATCTCTATAGGAGCTGGCATCCAAATTCGTCCGTTTCACGGTTATACATATGTAGTGACCAGGGTGGCTTTGGCCTCTTGAGCTCGGAGTATCTCTATCACAGAATGGTTCTTGACGGCGCCTGCAAAGTCATTAGGAGTTCGGATCCCCTCCTGCAAATGGTAAAACCAATGAAGAGGCAGGAGGAGGAGCTTTTCTTTCAAGGCAGCACATCGAGCAGCCGATGAATTGTCTCTGATTTTCGTCTCCGAGCGCGAGGTCCACGACCCAGTAACTGAGCTAGAGCCCGCACGGACAAAGGCCCGCATCAAAGCTGTAGAAGTGAGGAAGCTCCAGCAGCTTCACATGGATAGGCCCATGCCTTCGGTCTACTTCAAGACCATTGAAGGCCAAGGCTTATAAAAAAAACTGACTTTTGCTTTCTTCAAGTCAGGCGGGCTTAAATCAGAAACCGAGGGGATAATCATGGCATGCTATAAAATTCATTGTCAAATTAAAATAATTTTGAATGAAAAAGCGCGGAACGACTATAATGCTGTTGTCACCATATGCGAGGTGTGTAACTTAATATATCTAAACGTTAAAAATTACTAACAGTTCTGTGTCCGAACCCTCATCTACAACTAATACCAACAAGTGACTCTAAGCGACCTACACTCCCTTCTAGATGTGTAAAACTTCTGGTCTGTAATATCCTGAAAAGAACCATCAATTCAGTTCTCCAACTCAATAATCCTAATAAGGGAAGTCTGCACATGTTGAACTATATCACTATCCTCATCTTGAAGCAAATTGAAGCGAAAATCTTTCTAAATTATTTTGTCCAAATTAGTTACATTTTTGATTCTCTTTCATTATTTATTTATTCATTGGGTACGAAGTAACACCGCATCATTGTCGAAACAAGTTATTCACAACTACATGATCTAAGAATAAGAGTGCTTGCTTTGGTTCGGTGTAACACCATAGACGGCAAACACCTCATGTTATAGTAGCGCCACCTGGTGAGAGTGAAATTTTAAGCCCTCATTAGGACTGAATATTTGAGCCTTCAATTCCACCAAGATATGATACTAGAGAAAAAACAAAAGAATACATATACCTATTATATGCCAGTATTCATTCCTTTTTAGTGTTTGGTTCAAACTTGGTATTTATCAGCCGATATGCAGATGTTTGTATTTACACCCTTGCTGCTAATTCCTTTGGCTGTGCTTTTGAGAGATACCACCAAACTGAAATTGGCCATGATCAGTTTAGCTTTGTTGAATGTGATAGTAACAGCTATTCCAATCGCTATAAAATACCTTTTGAAGAATTATAATAAGTGAGTGTTGATTTTTTAGAGATAACACAGGGTCTTTCTAACTAAGTTTCGTGCAATCGTATGCAAAGTAGCCGTTACTCAAAGACGTTACTGAAAAACCAAGCAACAGATGAATCTGGAAATTTGATGGTATGTATAAATTGACATGATCCACATCTCTAAAATACCTTAAACGCGTTGCCGCTTCTACTGGAAAGTATCAGCAACTTTGATATTTCAAAACGAACAGGTACTTCATTGTACTTTCAGATTCTTCCTGAAGAGTTGATCTCATCAATATTTGGGTCTACCGGATATAATTACAGAGATATAATGAGTTCAAATTCGAGATTACTCAACTTTACGATTTTTTGTGTCCACACTATTTATTATTCGTCAAAACGGCTTACATGTCCCCATCTTAATTTTTTATTAACCATCTACTGACATTCAATTCGATCAGATACAGATTGTTTCAAGATTGAAAATTCTGATCACCCTGTATCTGTTCCAATTAATTGTCAGTAGATGGTTAATCAACAGTTAAGATAGGGACCGTGGGCCGTTTTAACCAATAATCAATAGTTTCGACACAAAAAATCCTAAAGTTGAAAATTCTCGATGTGAACACCCTATATCAGCTGTTCAGGAAGAATCTGAAAATGTAAAAGAACACAGGCTGTTCCATTCGAAAAATGAAAGTTATTGTTAGTATCTAGTAGAAGTGGCAACGCCGCATTTTTGAAAATATCTTAGAAGTGTAGATCACGTCAATTAATACGCACCATAAAATTTTCAGATTCATATATTGCTTGATATAGGGTGATTGATATTCATTTCCGGAAAAATGAAGTGCTTGATAGATCACAACTATGTAAAAAGTAGGGTTCGTTGAGCTATACAGGGCGTCGAAGTGCATCACGAAAATGAAAGTGAGTTCACCAAACTTGGTTTGTATATATACAGGGTGTTTCATTACTAATTGGAAATATTTCAACCATGGAATCCTGAACTCAAAATATGAAGATTTAACCCAAATCACCTAGATAAAATATGTCTCCTGTCTGAGTTACAGGGTGTTTTATTAAAAAATTTTGAAATGTTTTTTGCCCAGTTCTTTGAAACTATTTGACGTATCACTTTCATATTTTGAGGGAAGTGTAGGTATTATACATTTAACTGAATTATGTTAAATTGACTTTTTTAGCTATTACCAGAGGCGTACGACAGGGGCAAGTGACTGGTTGATCCTTCCCAAATTCTACGCCACTGGCAGAATTGCAATTTCATCAGAATTTTTCGATTCTTCAATACCTTCTTCGTAAATATTGTACTCCTTCTTCATAGCGATGAAGTCATTATTTTTCGAGATATTTCAAGTTAAACATGAAGCAGCACAACTATTTTGATTTTAATGTGTATCAATAATGTCGATATTTTGGATCAATGGACTGCATTCATCAATCAAATGAAACTTCAATCCATATTAACATAAAAACATAACAAACGGGAGCTGTTACAGGGCATTTTAAATTTTTTAATATATTACATAATCAAACACATTGTAGCAGCTCCTGTCTGATGTAATTATGTTTTTATTGTTGATATGGATTGAAGTTTCATTTTATTGATAAATACAATTCTTGATTCAAAATATTGACAAAATTAATGCACATTGAAATAAAAATGATTGTGCAGATTTATGTTTAACTTGAAATATCTCGAAAAATAATGACTTTATCGCCATGGAGAAAGAGTACGATATCTACGTCAAAATTGTTGGAGAATCGGAAATTTGTGATAAAATTGCAATTCCGCCAGTGGCGTAGAATTTGGGAGGGATCAACCAGTTGATTGCCCCTGTCGTACGCTTCTGGTAATAGCTAGAAGAGTTCATTTCATATAATTCAATTGAGTGTATAATACCCACACTTCTCTCCAAATATGAAAGTGATACGTCAAATAGTTTTGAAGAACTGGGCAAAAAACATTTCAAAATTTTTTGATAAAACACCACCCTGTAACACAGACAGGAGACATATTTTATCTAGATGAATTGGGTTAAATCTTCATATTCTGAGTTCGGGATTCTATGGTTGAAATATTTCCAATTAGTAATGAAACGCCCTGTATAATAAGAGGTGTATCATCATAATTTTTGTAAAAAAATCCAAGGCCAAGGACCATATTTCTCATATTTTTTTCCAAATACCCGTAGTTTTAGAGATAGAAGATATAGATGAAAAACGATAGATCTTCATCACAAAGAGTAAGAATCTCAGTCATTACCACATTAGTTAGTTCATAGTGAACATTTCATTCCACTTTGAGTATTTGGCTTTTTCCTAGTTGGTAGTTTTTCAATTCTTATCGCCATTGTTATTTTCCAAGTAATACACTTTTTTGTGGAAGTAAATATATTAGTATATTAGTGTGGTGAAAAAGTTAATATTTTCAAACAACACTGTATGTCCAAGGATACAGATATTACAAAGAACTTCTTTAATTTTCATCAAGAAATGTACCCGTGTGTTCTAATAATAATAGGTATGATACACATTGGTAATTCATATATTTTTCCAATTTGTTACCATATCTCTCTTCCTTGGAAATCTTTGAATAGAAATTAAAGTATTAATTATTGTAAAAGCTACACAGTGCGGCGTTGGTAAAAGGTTCATTATTCTTATTTCAGTCTAGGCAATGGATATATTATGTATAATGCAAATACAGGGTGCCCCATCGAAAAAGTTCCACCCAAGTTCTGTCCGTTGTGTTGCAATTGCAACAATTGCAACAACAATATATTGTGTTGCAGACAGGCCGTTTTCAATTTGGCGGGGGACACATTTTTCTGCAATTATCATATTCCAAAGTTGAAACCTTGAAGCGTAACGATCGAGCTTAACCTTCAATTTTTGAATGTAACATTCGTATTTTATTGCATATTCAGATTCTCCCTGTTGAGCTGATTTCATCGATGTATCACACTTGGGGTCTAGCGGAATGATTACAGATATAAGGTGTTCAAAATAGAGATTAAATAAATGTGAAAAGCTCACAGTCATTTCCACCCAGTGTTCATTAAAAAAAAAAAAAAAAAAAAAAAAAAAAAAAAAAAAAAAAAAAAAAAAAAAAAAAAAAAAAAAAAACAACGGTAGATTTCGGAAGAAAAACAACTACTTCCCTGGCTAATGCCACGCAGGATATTGAATTACATCCTCCCGAAATCTATGCATCGACTCGTTTAAACGAATACTGATACAAGTGATTCTTTCCTGAATGCCTATTGATTTTGATTAAGCCAGGCCGCTAGACAACCACAGACCGGTTTCGAGCTCTTTGACTCTCATCAGTGCAGTGTAGTCTCCAGTCAGCAGTCCTAGGACCGCCGACTCAGCAAAGCCTAGCCAAACAAAAATCAAGTTGGCATTATATCCACACCGAGGCGTCTTTCATCGATAAAATGAAAGTAACGCCATCTGAGTAGAACCGAGGAAAGAATCACTCCAAAACTGAAATACCCATACGGGTGTGGCTGGCAGCCCGACTGGCGTGATATGAACTACGAAATAGCCAAAATAGAGATTATTCAACTTCAGAATTTTTTTGTGTCGAAACTACTCATTTAATTTACTATCTACTGACGTTTAATTGGAACAGATACAGGGTGGTTCAAGATTTTGAATTCTGATCACCCTATATATGCTTCAATTGAATGTCAGTAGAAAAGCCCCGTAATCATTCTTGACAGAACTAGTGTGGTAAAACAAACTCCGGATCTCACGATGTTGGTCTATCATTAAAATTCGATTCAGTTGTTACCACATGCATACATGTATTGATAAATTGTTTCCACATTGTTTCCATTTTAGCCCTTATGATACACACACTAGATTGGCGAGTTATACTATGGGTATAACCATGGGAACTTTTATGAGAGAAAGGAAAGATAAGCCGTTTCTTTACAACAAATGTGTCAAGCATGCTTCGGTAAGTATATAGGTACTACTATCGAGAGACCTATACAGAGTGATTTACGATCCACTGTACATACTTATGTTTGACACGACAGGACAAACTTCTGCCATGAAACAATGGATATTTAAATTGGTCAATTCGACGTAATCACCGAGACACAGGGTCATGTTACTTTATTAGCAATAATTGATTCACCTTATATCTTTTCAATCGTTTGATCAATTTTATTGAAATTCATCAATAATGCCATGGTAATCTTCAAACTGCTAAAAATTTACCGCGAGTAAAAGCTGACGTCACGATAATGTAAGTCGCGGCAGACCATACCCACTGAGCACAGTGACGTTGAAAAAACGTTGCTAAATGGTTTGAAACCGAACGTTCAAAAGGAGTATTTCTCAAACGTTGATTCAACGATAAAATGTCCCACGATAAAACGTTTCTTTCAACCAAATCACCTACTAGAAATAAACGTATTTTGAGAACGTTTTTCCAACTTGAGTATCAACGTGACATAAACGTAATGTGTCGACGTTTCATAATTGTCGATAATAAAGGTTTATTCGACGTGTAATTAACGTTTAAAAATGACGATTCGAACAGGTTGATAAAATATTATTTTTCAACGTTTACTCCGGATCAATTTTGAGTCGTCGAATTATTCTCGGTTTCAGATTACTTTTCGTTATTTTTGAGTCCACAATGAATTTATTATCATTTTCATAATTATTGCAATCATTATTATTATAACTCACTAACCTGATATGTGTCCATGTATTTCCTTTCCGTTCCACTTTCTTTTTAGTGACGTACCTATCTTCACGTATACCTATTCAAATTTCTTCGACTACTCATATTTGTACCTAAACTCTTGGTGTGAGCGTCGGCGAGATGTAAACGGAAAGAATACACGTTGTCTAATTACGATTATCTATCGTTGTTAAAAAACATATATTACACGCTTTTTTATCTACCAACCGTTATCGGATACTTTTGAAAAAACGCTTAAGTAACGTATATTTCAAGAGTTCATTAAAAGTTGTGAATAAACATTAGTTTCAAATGACGGATGATATAGAATATGGTTTAACGACAACTCATATCACACGTTGACGAATAACAGTTGAAAAACGTTGTTGAAAAACGTTTTATTTACGTTCTTCTTCCACTCTCGGTCAGAAAATGTTGACAGAATCGCGTTACAGAAATGTTTATTTCGAACGTCTGACTAACGTTTTGGAGAAACGTTTCAAAAATTCATAATTTCAACAGATCATCAGGACACATACACAACCATATTTCAACGTTAAATTTCTCAACCATAAACGTCTATCTAACTTGTTTTACGTTGATAAGACGTTGAAAAAACGCTCGTGTGCCCATTGGGGTTGGTTCTGAGAGTTCATTGATTGTTATCAAAAAACGTGTCATAACCGTGAGCACTTATACCAAAATGTAAATGCTAGTTTGATAACAACATTTATCACACGTTACTGAGTAATATTTGAGGAACGTTATTGAAAAGCGTATTCATCACGTTGTTTCAGTTTCTGACTGTGGAATGATGGTAAAAGATTCACGTTGGAAAAACGTCAGAATTAAGAGTTCATTAAACGTTATCAAAAAACGTTACATAACCATGAGCACATCTTCCAAAATGTAAAAAATAGTTTGATAACAATATTTATTACACGTTGACAAATAACGGTGGAGAAGAGTTGTTGGAAAACACTTTTAACACGTTGATTTCTTGACCAGCAGTTGATTTTTGTTGAAAGATAGGCGTTGAAAAAACGATCATTCCAAGTTGAATAATAGTTCAACAACAAGGTATAATAAACGTTGTCAAATGAACGCTGGAAAATGTAGTTAAATAACGTTTTATTGACTATCAGTTAGAAAATGATGAAGGATTCGCGTTGAAGAAACGTTCATCTCAAGAGTTTGTCTAACGTTTTGGGAAAACGCTTTTGGGTCATTCTTCAAAACGGGGACAAATTGACAAGGATATTCAATAAGAATGAAAAATGTGTCAAAATCGTTTAATATTCATCCAGTTGTCGTATTTGAACATAATATATCTCATATTGAACAGGCCAAGAATTGGATAATTTTTTAATCGATTTATCCTGAAAAAACTGAGAACTCTTCCCATGGAGTTGAGGACCTCACCCATGGAGTTGACGATTTCATCCGTGTAGTCGAAAACATCAACATAAACACAAAATTTCTTTTCTGTTATTACCTTAAAATAAATAACGATCTCATTAGAGTTTTGTTTTGATCATATAAATGTTGAATATTAGTACCTTCATAAAATGAATGAAGATTCCATGGAGTTGACCAACATAAAAATGATGCAGAAAATACTACAGGTGCTTTCAAAAACTCCAAATGAAAAACGGTTGAGTCGTCAAAAAATTAAAAACTTTGGAAAATTGAGAGAAAAATGAAAAATTTTCCGATCATTCGATCCGAAAAACAGCTTTCATTTCAAAGTATTGCACATTAAAATTGGAACATCTTTGAAGAGGAATCGATTCCTTCGTAATACCTGAGGATTAGCCACTTTCTTGATTATACAATTGAAATTCACCTCAGATAGATCTTCTTCTTGAGACCAGATGAAAATCAAATTATTTTTGTTATAGGATACTCGTCTCATCATGAAGGTTATTTCATAAATAGCTCCATGAATAGCATTTACTTGACCAATATAATGAATCCTTTTGAGAACTTCTCCACGGGAAATGTTCTTCGGAAATCTCTGCTACCATACCTTCACTAGCAATACCAGTCAGACGAACTAGACAAGCCCAGTCAGCACATCCTTTCGTTGTCAACCTCGAAAGATGTCGAACAGCACTTTATCAAAACTCCTTCATCCATAGAACGGCTAGGCTCTGGAATTCATTGCCCGAGGAGGTATTCCCGAGGGTATTCCCAACAACATACAATCTCCAGAAGTTCAAAAAAGTTTCAATACCTACCTCCTATCCCTATCCTCCCTAGGAACGCACGATGTTCTTTGAACATTATAGGCATTCTCTTTCGTGCGCTCCAAGCGATAAAAAAAACGTCTTACCTCCTTTGATATTTTTTGCCCTTTTGTTAGTTCAGCAACTTTAATTCTCGGAGATACTCGATTTATTTTGATAGATCGACTTTTCATTCTGTAGTATTTTGTTTTTTATCGTATTGCCTTATTCCTTCTGTACATATCTCGCTCTTTTCGGACATCTTTCAGTTTTCTCACTGTCTGGGAACGTTTTTTGAGCACTCTATTTCTTTCCGCAGCAGATCTTCCTGATGAGCCTGGAATATTCTCAGGATGTTCATTAAATAAAGCATCCAATCGTGTTGGTGTTGATGGTGGAGTAGTTTCTTCTAGGAGCCTATTCAAATTTTCCTGAGTCCTTCTTTTTTTTATATATTCTGAAGATGTTTGTCTCCAGCGTTTCCTTATCTGTCTTTTCCCTCTGTCGTTTCTTTCGTTGATTGTTTTGATTTTTCCTGCATTTTTTCGTTTGATGGTATCTTTCACGTTCTTTGCGCTTCGCTTCTTCATATGCTCTATTACAACTCAAAAATATACTTTATCCGAAACAGCTTCTACAAGTTTACTACTCACTCGTCTACTCTCATATATCATATCACATTGTCTTATGGGGAAATTCACCCAATGCATCCCGAGTCTTCATCATGCAAAAGAGAATAATCAGACTGATCTTTAATTTGGACTTTCAACAAACATGTAGAGAACACTTTAGAAACCACAAAATCCTAACATTTCCGTCAATATATATCTATAAATGTATTTTGTATGCTAAGAATCATCTCACTGAATTTCCTAAAAACCAAGATTTCCATAACTATTCAACAAGACATGGAAAACAATTTTGTGTCCCTAAACATTCAACCACTCTATATGAGCACTGTCCATGCACAGTATAATGGAATAAAATTCTTCAACCATCTCCCACTATCCATGAAAACCTTGAATGACCAAAATATTTTTAAAAGAGCTCTCAAGAATTATTTAATTGAGAAGTGCGTGTATACAATTTCTACTGATAATATGTGTTAAGTCAATGCTTTGCATACTGCGCCATATTGAATTTAATTTTCAACTCTATGTATTTTTGTATTTTTGTAGATACCTGTATTCCTGACATGTCTTATATCATTGTGTGTGATCTTAAAAGATGAATAAATTTTATTATTATTATTATTATTATTATTATTATTATTATTATTATAAATGAGGATCCATTCTTATTCTTTCTCTCTTTCTTTGCTCAGACTCCCTTTTCTGTTTTCTTCGTTTATCTTATGATTTTTCCTTTGTATATTAACCATTATTGCTTCAATATACCTACACCGAATAAAAAAATCTGATGAAATATGGAAATATGATGTGAAATAGAATGTGTGCATCGCTTTTTATCACATTCTGTTCAATTGCAATAATCATCTAAACTTGAGTATCATTGAATCTGAGCACATATGTGATGTGGAATTTCAATCGACGCAATTTTCCGAAGTGAAACAACTCCATGGACTTGTTGTTCAACTCCATGGACATCTAAATACATGGAGTTGATGCCCATGGAGTTGGTGTTCTATAATTAATATTCAAATATTCACACTGCTATTAAACCTGACCTCAAATTATTTCTCATGCATGTAAGACATGATTAGTTACACATTACTAGGATATTCAACTAATCTAAATGGACTCAGTCTATTTGTGATCAACGACATGGAGTTGATTGTTAATAAAAATACTCACCTTGATTTCTAACTTTGTCTCCAGAATCCCGAATAAATTGCTTAAAGTTAACACGTTTCCCTGACAATCTTCAACTAACTGCTCTTGCTTCAAATGATGACACCTTGAAACATTACCTCAGGTGACACCTATCGGTAGTTCTGACAAAAATAACAGGCGTCCATGGAGTTGAGTTTCAAAATGGTGTCACATATTATTCATACATTTTACAATAACATTT